TCAAAAATTTTCGTAATTTGAAGCAAAGATCGTAATTTTTCTTTTTGAATGCTTAAGTATTCCAATATGCTACCAATTAAACATGGAACAATTTGAAAATAATGCTTAATATCAAAGTTGAAATTCGATCTTCAACTGTTAATATCTTCTAGAAATAAAAAAAATAATAATATTTTTCTCGTACTCCCCAAGGGATCCTCTATCACCCCTTGAAAGGAATGACGCCAATTTTGAATCACCCTGTATACATATTTAGGTGGGCATATGAATATCATAATAATATCCCGACATATACTTGTGTACCATGAGATCGGTTTCCATAAGTCTAAAATCTACTGTAATAAGTATAAATAAAATAAGTAAAAAGTAATAAAATAATTTTACCTATGGCCACTTCTGTAAGTATACAGGGTGGCCATTTTCTGAATCTTTGTATGGGTAACTTCTACATTTTTAAAGATAGAGAATCCGTTGAATGGGCAAAATTGGGCTGAATTGGATTGCCTATTCATACCGTTTTCAAAATTTAGGTACCCGACTTGGTTTCTGAAATATCCTGAAAAGGCAAGAAATCAACACTTTTTTAATTATCATATAATTCGTAAACAGGGGGGATGTTTTGTGCAGAAGACGTTCGTTACCGGTTCTAGCAGCTCTAGGATTAAAGCAGATACCAGCGGTTCTGACAAGCGCAAAACAAACAAAAATAAGGTTCGCATTGCCATCGGGACTAGCTCCCGGCATCATTATTTTTTTGCTTTATTAGTATTAACTTGTCTCTGTTGTTATTAGAGACTGGACACTTTTGTTTGCAGCCGCTTTTGGTCGGCGAGTAGTACAATGAGCGCACCAGCATTGCATTCCTTGTCCTAATTCAAATTTATGGCTTTATTTATCTATTCTGGCGTTCTGATAAAAATTAGTTAAATAAATGAAATATCAACATAAACAAACGTAATCATTCTTTCTCATTCGAATTAATCTAAAACTGCCACTTTTCGCACAGATAATAAACACATGAAATCCGTTTTTCGAACTCCTCACAGGCGAAACGCCGCCGTCTTTTAAAAAACTTAAACTAAACGTTCGCCTAAAACTAAGAACTGTTTTTTTTATTTCGCTATTTTCAACTTTCGTTCTATTGCTTAAGCTTGAATCATTGATGCTGTTTTACTTCGATCAATTGATTTTGAGGATTTGATAAGTGACTTTACCAGAGAAGTCATGAATAAAATATTTTTAATTGTATAATAATTTGTAAATCACTTAATTAACTAATTTTGATCAGAAGGCCAATGGAAAAATAAACTTGGAATTGCTACATTTGGTAGCAATTTTAGCAAAGCCTTAGGGCGAATAGGAAAAAGGCCATAAATTTGAATTAAGAAACGGGATGCAGACAACGAGTCGGTGGTACCTAATTGTACCTACCACCAGGGGTCAATGTACAGCATCTGTAAGATCTTAACTTTCTACAGAGGCATATTAACGGAGGGGCTAACGGGGCTTCTAGCCCCCGGGCCCTCACATTGAGAGTCCCGCGAACTTGAATAGAAGATATATTATTGTGATTAAGTAGATAAAAAAATGTGTAATAATTTTCCAATAATTATAACATATTCCTGGACCTGGTGAAGCTTTAATCCGCCCCTGCGTCTGTATCCGGTAGCAGTCCCGAAAACTTTACCTCTTTTGTGGCAAAACTTTAGTTTTTTGTCTGTCTTTTTGTATTTCCATTTACTCTGACGTGAAAACTTGCGAACAAATGTAGGCAATTCCAAGTTTATTTTTACGTTGCCATTCTGATCAAAATTAATTATTTTAATGCGATATTAACATAAAACACCTTAGTACTTAATTTTTTTTTATTCTAAACAATCAAAAACTGGACCAGTCTTTTGGCAGAGATGCAGAGAGATCATAAAAAACACAGCAAATCTGTTTTTCCACTTTCAGTCAATTGCATCTCAGTTTAGGGAAATTGCTGTTAGGCATAAAGGAACTAGAATCCTTTGGTACTACTAAAAGCTGGTTCTTAAAGCGTTCACGTAGTAAAGGAATCAGGATCGGTTCTGAAAAGGTCCTGAACGGAGCCTGCGCCCTAATTCGGTTTGTTATAGGTTCTGAACCATGCACTTTTAAAATTTAGAGATAAGACGAACATTCTACTGTTTACAAAAATTTGGGTTTGCAAACACTTCGTCAATTCAGTTTGTTGGATGGACTGAATGCGATTTTACAATCGTTAAAGTTCATAGTTATTAGTTGGATAGCTTGAACATTTAGTTAAGTAATATCTACTAAAGAATAACTTAATTATCTTTCTGCTTTTGCAAGCAAAATTTAAAATGTAAAAATAATATTCGTCACAAAGGATACATTATCGAAAACAAAATTGAAAGGCGGTTCGTACAAGGAGTCGACTCTCCGACTCGATCTTCTTGCTTTTAGTGCCCTGCCAGGGTTCAGACGATTCAGACGTCAGAATCTATCTCTGTCTGCTGCTATTCTAAAGAGGTCTTCCAGTTTCATCTTCAGCGTCAGCCAGGACGACAGTTTCATTCTACCAATCCATCTCTTTACTTCCACATGGCCCTGTATTATGAGTCAAAGCAAGTGATATTTTGGACCTCTTATAATATGACCAAAGTACTCGGTCTTCATTCACTTGATGGTCTTCAGAAGCTGCGTAGAGTAATGTTGACCACACGTAGGACTTTAAGATCTTTTTTCGTAGATGCATGGATAAATCTCTATTGAGCAGATCGGCCTTCCTTGGACAACTATAAAAAAAGTGGTTTGCAGCGCTGCAAACAAAACTAATTACAAAAAAAGTTGGGCTGATGCTAATTTAGATTAACGCTAATCCGTCATTCAGCGTCAGTCCGTCGGTTTAGCGCTAAACCTTAGTAAAAAAACCACGATGCAATCGGCCATAAGAACCCTAAACTTGAACTGTTTCGTTTTCGGTGGCCCGCCTTGTATATTTGCTTTTCTGAGATGTGTCATAGTTAGTAAAAGTTATTCACTCTTTCATCACAACATCAAAAAGTAATCAAATGCTGGTTCAAAAAAATTATTATCGTGATAGCGATGATAAGATAAGAAATTTATCATTTGATGTTCATTTTAGCAAACAATTAAGCATTTATTCTGCAGTCACCTATATAATTTTCTTTGTACTTTCTTTTTCATTTGGAAATGTATATAGTGCGTTCAATATATCCGGTGGCTATAGTAGCCATTTATTTTATGGTAAGTTTATTGTGTTCCTCCATTATAGTGACTAAAAGGTCTCATTATACATAGTATATTGAGTAAACAGGGTGTCCCGCAAACTTTCGACAATACTTTGCCTGGTGAAAGGTCTATCCTTGAGAAGTCAGAAAATTGAAAATAGTATTAAAGAAATTATCATGGTTTTCGAGATATTTACCCATTTTTGCAAAACGACCAAAACTGACCCTTGATATTTCGTTATTGCTCTTATATAATATTACTCAGGAAATAGCTCTTTTATGTTTTAGTTACGACATTGGTAGCAGTTCAAAAGTTCATCTCAAGTTTTTGAATGCATGATTTGTATTTAAAATAAACTTATAACTCCATTTCTATTATCTATATTTGATGAATGAATGGTGAATAGCTATTTGTTGCCCATAAGCGTAAAAATTAGCGGCAGTCTTCCGGAATCTGAAATAGTAAAATAAGTACCTATTCGCTAAGCAATAACTATTTATTTGGCTGGTTATCTGACGCATGTACAATTTTCCCCATACATAACAATACAGTTGAAATGTGCTGCTAACGAGAACTAACTTAGAGTAAATGTACACTTAACTTAAAGTAAATGTTCAAAGTTACCGCTCTTGGCCTTTATCGCCTTATATCTTTTTTATTTTGCGACAATGAGCTTGGCTAATTTCTTGCGCTGCTCTGAAAGCTTAGCTCTGCGCGAGTGTCTGTAGCAAGTGAGCAAACTTTATATTTTAGACGGCCCCAATAAAAAAAATCTACTGCATTTAAATCCGGTGAGCGTGGTGGCCATAAAATAGGTCCTTGACGTCCAATCCATTGTAGTTGAAACGTAGTTATTCAGGTGTTCTCTTACAATTGTACTATGCATTGATTAATCAATGCATAGGGGGTAGGGCAACCGTCATGTTGGAACCACATTATTAGTCCTCTTGTTGATAGAGAAATGTCTTCAAGTAATTCTGGAAGCTTACTTTGCAAAAATTGCAAATAATTTGAGCATTTAAATGTTCGGGAAATTCCACTAGTCCTATAATATTGCTGTAGACTATCCCTGTCCAAAAGCTGCTTTTAAATTGACGCCGAAAATTAGATCCTAAGAAAGCATGTGGATTCCGCATTTGCCAACTGTGAAAGTTATGCATGTTGGAAATACCAACCCGTTTCCATCAAGGCTTGTCTGTCCAAAGAATGCGATCAAAAAAGTTGTATCTTGATGTATTTTTCGTAACGTACGTCTACAAAAATTTAATCTGAATTGAAAGTGTTCCGTGAGAGGGGCCTGCACTCTTTGGACGGGACATCACGACGTTCTATCGTTTGTGGAATGGTTGTGCGACGTTCATTGGCTCGTACTGATTGGTTGGATTTCTTTCAACACTTTTTCATCATCAACCACCCGAAGTGTCCAGTCTCCAGCTGGTATTCCAGGCAATTGTCGTTGAAGATAGGTGTTGTGAACAGTCATGAAAACACAAGGTTATTTATTGAATGGCATCATGTGGTGCAGGCGGAACCGAATCGAATTGGGTTCAAGTTCAGAAGCCCAATTTCAAGCTCTCCGTTGTCTCTTACCTCAACTATTGTATATTCCAAATGGGCATCATCAATTTCCGCATGCAATAGCAGGAACAACGTCAACGGGCACGTTTTTTGTTTCAATTTATTTGTGGTTAGAGTACTGCATTGCTTGAGAGCTTGATGGAGCTGGTTGTGAGACTTATAGGCCGGTATATTTAGTCGAACTTCGGAACTTTACTGGACATTGTTTTGGCGGATAGCCGAGCGTGCAGCCGCCGACGCGAAAGCGACGGGTTTTTGAGGCAAAAATGTTCTTCGTTAAATGGAATCGCCGACAATTCTCCCATAGAATGAGCATGCGCAATATCACCATTCTAGTGGCGCCGCAGTTCGCTTTTGAGGTGATATTAGTAATTTACTGATGAAAGTTCGGCACCACAGATTACAGAGTATAGATTGGACAGTTTTGCTTTCCCGCCAAAATGATTTTGCTAAATGCAACCATAGAGAGGCGTCGTCCAAAAATCCAGAGGATCAGCACAATTGTTTGCATGCGTTTGTTTTGTACATATGTTCATAAGAGGACTCTGAACATACAGGATTTTACAGTTAAGATTATTCCGTCAATTTTCAGTCTTTCAGTCTATCAATGTTTTTAATTTGCAATCATAAGCATTTTCAACTAGTTTGATAACTGTGATATTTATCTTTGTTTTACAATAATGGAGCATAACGTGGCTCGGAGAATGACTAAGTGTTGTGTTCGGAATTCTGTGATCTCTAGATAACTGTGAAATTTATTTCAGTTTTACAACAACTGAATATAAGGTAGCCAGATACCAGCCGCTTCCAGTGTTGTGTTGTGTTCGTGAAAATCAAAATGGTCGA